AAAATTATAAACATAAAATTTATAAAAATAATAAGATAATTCTTTATATTCCAATAAATATTTTTATTTAAATGAGCAGTTTACAAGAAATTTAATAAATAAATTATTTTATTTCGAAAAAAATAATTATAAAATTAATATCATTTAAAGCTTAAAAATCTAAAATAATTTAATGATAAAAATAAAATACTTTTTTTTAAAAAAATAATCATATAATAATATTAAAAAAATATTTTTCTTTATATTAAAGTAATTTAGAAATCAAAGATTTTCAAATTAAATTTTTTAAGTATGAAAAATATTATAAACTTTATTTTATAAATTTTATATTTTATTTTTTTTAAATGAAATGCTTATATAATTTAAATTAAAAGCATTATATATAATATTTATATATTTTTGTAAAATTTTATTTCAAAAGAAAAAATATTCATATGAAAAATTTAATTAAATAGTTTAATTTTAAAATTTTTTAAAAAAGTAAATTAATGTTTAAATATTTTATATTATATAAAATAAAAATAAATTTAATTAATCATCTTAAAATTTTAGTAAAATCTTAAAATAATATTTAGTTAAAAAAATTAATTAATTATTAAATGAACTGTTAAATTTAAGTGAAAGCAATAATCTAATAAAAGTTTATTCAAAAATAATATTTAATAAGAAAATACAAAATTATTATTATAACATAAATTTTAACAATAATTAAATACATGAATTTTTAAAATAAATCTAAAAAAATAATATTATAATTCAATAATAAATGAAAATTATCAGTGCTTAAGATAATTATTATAAATGGTTAATGAAAATTTTAGTATTATAAAAATTCTGAATAAATAAATCCTTTAACGAAGCTTTTTGGAAATATTTATTTTTAACAAATATAAGTATAAAAAGAATTATTTTATATACAAAATTAATTTATGTCTACTTTATTTTAATCTTAACTTTACTTAATAAACTAACAATAATTAATGAATTAAATATAAAATCTATTTATAAGCAGCTATAAGCGATATTTTATTAAAATATTTAAATTTGATATTTAAGTACCAAGATCTTTTATAAGTGTTTTTATAATAAAAATAATTCGAAAATATATGTATACTTATTAAATTAAGAAGAAAGAATAGTTTATGTAAAAATAGGAGGTTAATAAATTATATTTTTTGTCATATATGTAAAATAAAAATAAAAAGTAAATATATAAATAAATTATATTAATTTAAAATTAAATTCAAACTAAAAATAAGTTTGTGAAATTAATTAGAAAATTAAAAAATATAATAAAATAGAGAAAAATAATTTAAAAAAAGAAGATTAAATATTTACAAATGAAAATTCAAAATAAAATAAATATATAAAGAAGTTAATGCAAAAATTAAAATTAGTGAAGAAATTAAAAATTACAGACCATAGTTTTAAATAGGAATTAAATATAAAAATATATACAAAAGTGAAGAAAAATTAAAATAATTTTTTTTTTTAAGGCCATTATGTACTTCATAAAGAATAAAATTTGACAAAATATAATAAAACTTTTTTTGAAAAATTTCGTATAAAAAATATAATTTATTAAGAAAAAGAAGTAAAGCCATAAAGCAGTATAAATGAATATATAGAAATGAAAAAGAATTTTATTAATAAAAATTAATTTAACATAATATAGTAGTAATTAAAAATAAATAAATAATAAATAACTTTAATTTCTTTGTTTTTGAAAAAAATAATATTTACAAGTATAAATGATATCCCAAATACAAATATTCTCCTTTAATTAAAAACTAGCAATTCTAAAAATAGTACACTGACTACTTTTTTTGAATGAATTTTATTTTCTATTTCAATAATATTAATCTACTTAAATTAAAAAAAAATTCATTTTTTTGAAATAATATCTATTTCATGCTATTAAAACTAATTATTATTAAAAAATATAACATATAGTTATTTATATTAAAAATGATATCTATTAAAAAAAATATTAATTAAATAACAGCTTAATTACAAAGTTCTTAAGTAAAATTAATACTATGCTACTTCGCTTTTAAATTTGAAAACTTATCTTAATTACATTGGTTAATTTTTTACTTTTTTCTTATTTATATTTAATATGTATTTTTATTTTGTTTGATAAAATATATATTATTTTTGAAAAATTTAATTGATAAGTTTTTTTATTTATATTTGTTTTTTTAATTTTTTTTATAAATTATTTAAAGTTTAATTAGTGGCAATATAAATAAGTAAACATTTTATAGATTTTTTACTTTTACCTTTTTAAATTATAATAGCTCAAAAATTCTTGTTTTCTAAGATAATATTATATTATCAAATAAATACAGAACGGAAACATAATAATCTTATTATAATAAAAAAGTTCTTTATGTAAACCTTAAAAAAAATTTTAAGAAAATAAGAGAATTTTATTAATAACTATTATACTCTAAATAAAGAAAAAAATTAACTATTTTTAAAAAGATTATTAAAAAATAATAAGATTAATTTATTTATAAAAAATAAATTTGTACTTTTTTTGTGATAAAAAAAAAAGAGATATATATAAAATATAATTATTTTTATATATATTTTAAAAAAAGTAGATATATATATATTTTATAATAAAAATATTTTTTATATATTTTTAATTTAAAATTAGAAAATGAAAAAATAAATTATATTCTAAAGATTTCTTTTATTAAATGTTTATATTTTAATCTAAATAGATAATCATCTTATTTATAATATTATAAAATAAAATAAAAATATAAAAAAAACAGTAAGATATAATTTTAATTAATATGCAATCATGTAGAAATAAAATACCCACAAAAAAGTCATTAATTAAAATAAAAAAAAAAAAAAAAAATAAATTATATATTAAAAAAAAAAAATATTATAATATAAATAAAATAAAATAAAATAAAATAAAATTTAAAAAAAATGATTTCTGAATATAACATTTTACTTTTAAATAATCAAAAAGAAAAAATTAAAAAAGATATAATTGCTTTAGCTAAAGTAAAAAAGAAATCAAATTCTTAAAGAAATATTTTAAATAAGTGGTTTTAAGATTCCATTAATAATTATTTTTTAAAAGCTTATATTAGTTAATTCTTGAAATACGAATTGGGAGAGGGAGATGTAAAAAATGTTAAGTCTTACATTGAAAATAAAATATCTCATGACGGCATAAAATTTATAAATATACTAAAATAATATAAACTGGAATTATAAAAATATAAAAAATATAATATACATTTAAATATTTGATTTCTTTGATAACTTAAGAAAATAATAATTATAATGTTTTAAATAGTTAGTAGAAATTTAAAGAAACCAAAAAAAAATTTGTTGCTTTTTTACTTTTGCATTTTCTTCTCAGTCCAAGTGATGAAATGGAGTCTTTTTATGATATTTGGAACTTTATATATCCTGAAGATATATAAATTAAAAAAAAGAGAACTAAGTTTGATAAATCTAAAATAAAAATATAAAACTATGATTAGGCCTAGCAAAGTAATATTATGAATTATGATTAATTTAGTGAAACAAATTATATAAATTGTGATTATGATAATTAAAAATTAAATTTTGATGATTTTGATGATAACCTTTTTTCTAATTTTTAATTCCTATGAATGAATAAAATAATTTTTATTTTTAAATATTAACTTTCTTGACTTAATTTTTAATTATATTCATATAAAAATTATATACATTTAATTTTATATATATATAAAAAATTTATTATTTTTATATATATATTTATTTAAATTTTATTCTTTTATTCTTATAACTGTATATTTATATTTTGTATATTGTAACTAATAAAAAATTGATTAATGAATAAAATCAATGAAATATTTTTATTTTAACTTACATTTTCAAAAATATCTTATTTTATATAACTTATTGATTATTCATAATTGATAAATAAAGTTGAATAATTATTATGTAACAATATAAATATACAAAATAATATAAATATAATAATATATTATTAATTGCATATTATAATTCTTTTATTTTTGTTATTTAATAATTTTAATTAATTAATTTTTATTTTTTATATTTTAAGTTAATTTTATTTAAATATAAATATTTTTGTATTATAATTTTAGATTATACATGAAAATCTAAAAATTAAATACACAAATTATAGGATATTTAATATATTAAAATTCAGGACAATAATTAAAAAAAAAATAAAAAATAAAAATTTAATTCTATAATTAAATAATTTTATTTATATTATTATTATCGCCATAATTTTTTATTTAAATAAATATAAAATTAATATTAATTTTAATATAATATTAATATTAATTTTAAATTTTCTATTATTTTAAATAGTTACATTAACAAAAAAAATATTTTTTAAAAAAATTATATTATTTATACATTATTATATATATATATATATATATATATATATATATACTATTAAATTGTAATTTTTTTAAATAAAAATATATATAATATATAGTATTTTAATATGATTTTGTTTTATTTTATGATATATTTTTATTATTAAAATTTTTAATTTAAATAAATAAGACATATTTTGGTTATTTTTATATTTTTTTATTATTTTTTAAATTAAAATATATATATATATATATTATATTTTCTTATATATATTCATTTTTTTTGAAATTGGATCAATTAAATGATATTATGAGAAACTTTTATAAATAAAAAATATAAATAACGTTAATGTATACAAATATTTATTTTTCTTATGGAAATAAAAAACTTTAATCAAAAAATAATCTAAAAAAAAAGATTTTGAAATAAATATAAAATTATTATTCCATATATTTAGATTTATATATATATATATATATATATATAAAAAAAAATGCAAAATAATCAATTATTTAGTGCATAAAATTAATAATAACAAAACTAAACTCCTACATTAGAATAATAAAATGAATATTTTCATGAATATAACTTAAACTACGATCTTCCAAACGATGAGTAAGAATTTAAACACTTCCGTAATATTGTGAGTTCATATTTTAATTACCGAAATGATTCAATTTAAGAAGTATGTAGAATAAAAAATGGCTACGAGCGTTTACCTGAGGAAAACAAAAAGCATTTGAAATATAAAATGGAAGAAAAAGTTGATAAATACCTAAAAGCTGTTGAATAAAACGCTATTTTTTTAGACAAAATAGTTGAAAGTTACCACCATATAGTTTATGGAATTGACCCATATACAAAAACTTAATCAAATCCATAAAAATATGTATTATTTAAAGACGTGTCTAAACTAAGAAGTACATTAAAATAATTTGTTAGAGATTGGAGTAAAGAAGGTAAAGTTGAAAGAGATAAATGCTATAAACCTGTTTTATAAGAATTTTAGAAATATTTTCCCGAAAATTTTAAAAATGGAGAAAGAGTAAGAGTACTTTTCCCAGGATGTGGCTTAGCAAGAATTGTATTGGATTTTGCCAGTCTAGGATATGGAGCTTAGGGAAATGAATTTTCTTATCATATGCTTTTTGCGAGCAATTATTTACTTAATATAGTAGAAAAGGCCGAAAGTATATAAATTTAACCTTTTATTCATTCGTTTTCGAATAATTTTTCATTTGAAAATCCCTTTAGGGTATATACAATACCTGATGTGCTTCCTATGGACTGCGTACAACCTGATAATGATGATTTTTCAATGTCTGCAGGGGAGTTTGTGGGTATTTATAAAAAATAAATTAAATAATGGCATGGGGTTTGTACAGTTTTTTTTATTGATACAGCTAATGATATTATTGAATATATAAAAACTATATATAATTGTCTTAAAAAAGATGGAATATGGATTAATTTAGGACCTTTGCTTTATCATTATGCAGATTCTCTTATTGAACCTTCAATTGAACTTTCTTGGGAGGAAGTTTTGCATGTAATTAAAGGCGTAGGGTTTGAAGTTGTTGTACATGAAAATATTTAAACAAATTACGCATCAGATCCATTTGATACAATGATGAAAGTATAGTATAATTGTGTATTTTTTACTGCTATTAAATATAATGATGATGTAGTTTAATGAATTTTGTTTTATTTAATTTTATTTTTTATTAAAAGAATATTTATTTAGTTATAAAAAAATTTGTTTTAATATCTTTATTTTTTTAAAAAATAAATAAATTTATATTTATATTTTTTTTATTTTTAGCTTTTTTTATTTTTTTCATTTATTAAATTCTTTTAAATACATTTCTTTTATTAAAATATAAGATCTTCCTAAAGTATTATTTTCATGAGAATTTGAAGGTATAACAATACAATATTTTTAATTTTATTAAATTAGGATTTTTAATTCATCATAAATATGTTTTTTATTTTAATGAATAAATTTAGTATTTTTAATGTCTATACTATCTAGAGTTTATTGAAAAGTTTAAAATATACGAATAACTGCATTTTCAAAAAGTTTTAAAATTTTAATTTAATAAATTCTAGTTTAATTGTATTCATTTTCTAATTTTAAAGATAGTTATTATTCATTTATTTTTTCCAATTTATTTTTAAAAGCGAATATTTTTTCATTAGACTCAACTAATATTTCATATACTTTTCTTAAATACCTCAAGTCATATTATATAAATTCTAAAAATTATTTTATGTTTTCGTTTATGTTCTTCATTATTATTTAGTGATCAAAAAATTCTATTTTCGAGTCTACTACAGATTTTAAGTTTGTTACATATTCGCTAAAATGTTTAGAATATTCGTTTTTTTCTAAAGATAATTATTAAGTCTTTTATTAAAATATATTTTTGTCTTCTTCTAAACTTTAACCATAAAATTCTAATTATAAAATCATCTTCTTTCTATACAAAACTTGTCTCATGGTTTCTTTTAATCTTTTGTTGAGCATTTCTTATAATTCCATATAAAAATACTTTAAATTTTCTATGTTTTTTATTATTATTATTTATCTTTATTCTTAATTTAAATCTTCTTGAAATTAATCGTAATTCCAACTTTTTGTTTGTTTAAAATACCTTATTATTTATTTTTATTTATATATTTTTTTATTTTTACTAATCTAATTATAAAGGGGGTTAGGTTGATTGTATATGATTTTTTTATAATTCTTCATTTGCGTTTTCATATTAATTTATTTTTTTATATCTTATAATTTATAAAAATTATTATATGTAATCACATTAGACTTTATCTAATATTACTTGCTTTATTAAACTTCTTTCTATATAATCTTTATCTGATAACAAAAAAGTTTTTCTAATTTAACCCTATATATATTAATAAAATTTATATATTCAATATAGTTTTTTTTTTTACATATTAAATAGTTTATTAGTCACATATTTTATAAATAATTGAACTTTATACATTTTCACCCTATATATTTTTCTTAAGATTATTAAATTCTTCATATATAGCTTTTTCTTTGTCTAATAAGAATATAGGGCCTTAAATGAAAATGTAAACTTAGATTACACAATTAATTAATTTATTTTATTTAAGCAATTAATTAATAAAACTAATATAATCTTAAATTGCTTAAGGACCAAATTAACTTTTTTCAAAACATATATTTTCTTCTAATATAGTAGAAATTTTATTAATGCTATTTTTTTCTTTTTAAAGATTATTTTCTTTGAATAATTCCACTAAGTTTTCTCCTTTAAGTCCAAAAATGATTAAATCGTTTAATAAAATATTATCCTAAATATGTCTTTCTAAAATATTTTTTAATATTATCTTTTATCTACTTTGTTATAATTCTTGTTAACTTTCTAATAAATTTTATATTTAAGGATTTATTAAAGTTGAGTTATATCTTCTTATTAACGTAGCCTATGAAATTATTTATATTAAATGTTAACTATCATATTTTTCCTGGAAAGTTAAGTATTCTTAATTCATATCTATAATAAATATACTGTATTATTTTATTATTTGATTAGATTTTAATTATTCAATTGGTATCAAATTTTCTTATTACATTTTTTTTTATTTATTATTATTTTTTAATTTTGTTGTAACTTTTTTTTTTTTAAATATTTTTTTATATGTTTAAGTATTTTATTATAAAAAAATAAAAAGCTTTATATTTTTAAAACATTTATTAATTATTTTTTCTTTCATTTTTTTATTATAATTTTTCCTAGATTAATAACTAAAGGAAATTATAAAACTGCTTAAACACTATTATTTGCACTCAATTACAAAGTCATATAAACGGCAAACTTTTTTTAATAAATAAAGAAAAATAAAAATATTAATACCTAAACATCTATTTAAGAAATATCCTCATTATCGCATTTGATAATAAAATCAGCTGTTTTTTCAACAATTTCATGTTTTTTATTACTCTATTTAGCCAATTCAAGTACATCAATATTTTTCATAAGAATCTTATCCTTATTAAGAATTTCATAACGGAAATATTTTTTATTATTAAAATTCTCATCCATTTATTCGAAATAAAATTCTAAAGAAAAATCAGTTTAGTTTTCGAAAACTAAGCTCATTTTTATTTCTGTTTCCTCTTAATTAATTATGAATTTTCTAATATGCATATTTGGTGAATATTCATAAAAAAAGCTTTTTGTACTAAATTCGACATTATAGCTATTAGATGATTCTTACTTTGTTATATGTTTTTTACAACTTGGACATATTCTGGCTTTTCTACAAAATAAAAATAAAGGAACTGGCAACATTTCGCTTTTATTTTTTGGTTATATTAAAGGAAATTTTAAACATTCTTCTGTATTTGTAACTTTTGGTTATTTTATTTTTTCTATTTTTTTAATATTTTTTTGTACTTAATTCATAGTTTGTGCTTTAAAAATGTTATAGTTCTTCTTAAAGAGAATCGAAATTTTCATTATAAAAAATGTTTTATGTTTCTTCAGATGGATTTTTATATATTTTTAATGTATTTTAATCTTATATCTTTAAATTATACATTTAATCATTTAATTATTGTTGCTTTTTTTCATGTAATTCTTAGAATGTTAACATAGACCAATTAAAATGGCCTTCTTTACTTTTTTTTATATTTGATAAAACTAATTAATATATATAATTATTTTACAATTATTATTTATCAGTAACTTAAAAGTTAGATATTATACTTAATTTTTTTCTTATTTTAGGATTTAGTTTAATTTTTTATTCTGATAAAAAAAAACATTTAAAATATATACAAAAATTAAAAAATAACCTTTTTCAAATTAAATCTACATATCATTAAATACATTAAATGCTTTTAAAACTTTTTTTTAAAAGAAATATAAATAATAATATTAATATTTTTTACATTTTTTATTGAGGATCTATTTTATCTTTTATTTTTATCAAAGATTTTTATGCTAAATCTTTGTTTCTTTCATCTTTAATATTACATGTTTCTGAACTCCAAGAACAGAATTGACATAGATAAAAATATTTTCTATTAATAAAATATAATATATTTTTAATATTTTTTATGTTTTAAAAAAACTATGCATTTTAATCTTTCGCTTCTATTAAAATTGTTTAACACATTGGACATTCGAAGCAACTTTAACAATTATATTTTATTGTATTATCACTTGGATGGTATGAATGTGAACAATTTCTACAAAAATAAGAATCAATTGTTATTTATGTACAAAATCTGCAATATATTTTAAAACAATGTGAACAACAATATAATTCTTCACGCTTATATTTACGACCGCATTCACATTGTATATGAATATATGGCTTATTATCTTCACTTGAAAAAGTATACATATAAATAATTTTTAAATTAAAAAAAAAAGATATAAATAAAAAAAAAAAAAACAAAACATTAATTAAAAAAAAAATTATAATTTATAAAAATTATGATTAAAATACATTTTTTTATTTATCAAAGCAAAAATTTCATTTTATAAAATCATAAACATATTATTAAATTTTATAAAATATAACTTCTAAACACTAAATAATTGAAAAATTCTAATACATCATTTATTAAAGCAAAAAAAATATGAATTTTAAAATCCGTAATTAATACGATAAAGATAAATTGGATTTTTTAGCAGAAAACTGTATAAATAATAATATAACTTTATTTAAATAAAATTAATTTAGTTTATTATTAGAAAATATAAAATTTACTAATTATCAATAAAATATTAAAGAAAAATTATTTATATTTATATATATGTTTTTTTTTTAAAAAAAACCTATAAAAAATTAAAAAAAAAAAATCATATAATTATTTAATTTTAAATACATAATACATATATATAATTATATTATTATATTTTCATTATTAATTTTTTTTTCTTTTTTCTATTATTATAGTAATTTTATTTACATTAAATAGAGTTCCTTAAATAAACAAACATCTTTAAAAATAAATATTCAAAATTTATAAAAAAATAAAAATAAAATCTATCAATTATTAACCCAATTAAAATCATATATATATTCAATGTGAAAAATAAATTAATGACATTTAGTACTAAAAATAATATAATCTATAATTAATAGTCAAAATTAAATTCATTAGTCGATTTTTAATTTAGAAAGAAGCTTAACAAATGCAAATAGTCCTATAAATAGCATATTTATTATTTATTAAAATATAGCCTACTTCATCAAAAAGATTTTCTATTTAATGAAAATAGAAAAAAAAAAAATATATACATTTATCAAATTAACAAAAATAAGATAATAAATAAAAAATTTAAATGAAGATTATATAATAAATAAAATTTTAATGAAGATTATATAATATATAATAAATGCTAAAATAATAAGCCAAAAACAATTATTTACTTCCTAAACAAATATTAAGCTACTAATAAGTTGAAAAAAACCATAAAAAAAAAATTAATACAAAAAAAAAAAAATCAATATATTTAAAAAAAAAATAGAAAATTTAAAAGTAAATAATTATTTCGAGACAATAAAATTCTATAGATAAATATAAAAAATAATTAATATTATCAATTTTCTAATAATAATAAAAATAAAAATTATGTAAAAGCATAAATAATTAAAATATATAAAATTTAAATAAATGGCAATTTATTTCAAGATAGTTTAAATAAAATGATAAAAATATTCAATAATAATTAAAAAGAATATAAATATTAGAAATTAAAAATATTTTATTTATGATAAAAAAATCTATTTATTAATATACAATAATATATATATATATATATATATATATATATATATATATGTATATACACATAAAATTAATATATAAAAATATATAACAAATAAAATGAAATAAATATTTAAATAAAAAATTTTTGATATATTATTATTAATATATATAAATTTCATAATTATGAATATTATTTTAATTCATTATTAAATTAAAAAAAAATTATATTTAATAAATAATTAAAATAATATCTTATTGTAAAATAATTTTTAATTTATATTTATAAATAAAAATATTTATGTAAAAATAATATCTTAATTAAATTAATATTATTGAAAAAATATATTATATTTTTTTAAATTTGTTTTATTATAATAAATATTAATATATTATTTTATTTTAATATATTAATAAATTATATGCATTTTAATATTAGTAAATTCAATTAATTTTTTAAAACAATTATAATAATATTAATATATATGTATAATAATTATAACAAAATATATATTATTTCTATTTTATTATTTTTAATTTATTTAATAACTTAATCCACTTTAAACTTAGATTACAAAAAATGTATAATTACATTTTTTATATAAAGCGTGTTATTTTTTAAAAAATAAAGAAATAATAAAAAAAAAATATAATCAAGCTGTAATTTTTTATTTTAAAAAGAAAAAATTTTAACATATAATAAATATTTTTTAAAAAATTAAGATTTTATACAAAATTTAAATATATAAATATTTGGTACAATTTCTATTTTTTTAAATAATTATTATATAACCAGAAAAAAAAAATAAAAAATATAAATAAACACTAAATTAAACAATACAAATATATAAAAGATAAAAAAATAAATTTTCATTATAAATTCTATAATTCATTATTATTATTAATATTTAATTATGAATCTTCTTCATCTTCATTTTCATCCTCATCTTCTTCCTCTTCATTATCTTCATTTTCCTCTTCTTTAATATTTTTTTTCTATTTTTTTCCTTCTCCGTTTTCTGTAGCTTTTACAGCCTTTTATTAATGACAAAAATATATAAAAAATAATTATTTTATTTTTTAAAAAGACCTCTCTATATTTGTATAAATAAAGCTTAAGCATATCATAATAATTTTCAAAACCTAAAGTATTTATTGAATGCAATAAATCTTCACCATTTATAGTTTTTCTTTTTTCCGATCCACATTTTTCGCATGCTTCGCTTGTAATAAAACTTATAAATTCAGATACACATTCTTGTACTATTTCTTTTGCTTCTTTTGCTATTTTAGCATTTGGTGGTAATGCTTTTTTCATTATTCTACTAATGTTTGCAATAGGTAAAAATCTACTGTAATTGTTAATTTACCCTCTTTTTTTTTAAAAAAAAAAATGAAATTCAAGATTATTTTAAAATTTTGTTTTATAATATATTTGATTTTGTTTTTTTGTTAATTTTTATCATTTCATATATTTTTTATATTATTTTTATAGTATATTTTATGTTAAATTTTCAATTTTTTTTACTTTTCATCTTTTTAAGAGTTATCGCCATCCATTTTTTTTTTATATATATATATATATATTTTATTTTGATTAATTAGAGAAATATTAATAATTTAAAGAAAATTAATTAAAATATATTTTTAAGTAAAATGAATGATATTATTTTATAATGATATTGGATTTTTATTATTAATTTTCGAATAAATAATTAATATTTTTTCAGATTGATATTATATATACTTTGTTAAATTTAAATATTTTACACAAATAAATCATTTAATAATTTTTTTTTTATACAAAATATATCTAAAATTTTATAATTAATACATTTATTTAAATTTAATTATTTTAATATAAATAAAAGTGTTTTTTAAAAATAAAATTTAATATTGAATATATCTGACAATAAAATAATGAAAGCTTTAACTTAAAAATAATATTATTTTTATTTTTCAATTATCTATTATTTTTTTATTGATTAAGCATGAATTTTATTTGTTAAAAACTGTTTTAGGATAATTTATTATAAATAAAATAGTTAAATAATAAAATGAATATTTATTCTTTTAAAAGATAATTGAAAAATTGAAAAATAGATAGGAACAAATTAATTATTAACAAAAATTTTGTATATTTAGCTAATTTTGTCTTATAAAATAAATTATATAAGAAAATATTTATTTAATAATAATAAAATATTTTAAAAAAAAATAAAAAATCGTAAAGAACTGATACTAGACAAACTGCAATTATTATAAAAAATAAAACAATTAATTAGAATGAAAATAAAATATTAATAATCACTTTCTCAAAAACAAAATTAGTTTTTTATATTAAATCAATAATAAATACTAAATATAAATATTCTTTCTATTTGCAATAATAAATATAGAAATGTAATTATTCTTATAATTTTTTTTTGCATATTCATTATTTTGAAATGATAAATAAAAAAAGTTAGAAGAAAAACTGATTAAATATAAAGAAAAGTATTTAAACAAAAATTATTAGTCATTTTTTTTATATAGAAATTAAAATATAATATATTTACTTTACTTATTATTAGAAATATTGACTTGTATATTATTTAATATAAAAGATAAATAGAAATTAAAGTATTAATTTAAAAATTATATTAATAATAACAAAATTATATACTTTTTTTTTAGTAAAATAAATAAAAAAATCCATAAACTCAGTATCCACTATATGATTAATTATTTTTTGCTTCTAATTAATATTATTTAGATCCTTAAGCATTTAAAATTATTTTATTAAGACGATTCTCTATGCCTTTAAGCCTGCTAAAAAAATCTTCTATTAAATAAAAAATAAGAAATAATTTTTTTTCATTTTATAAATAATACCTTCTTCTTGCTTCTTTTAATTATTGTCATTATCTTTATTATATTTAATAGTATTTTCATATAAATTAACATCCTATTTTTTAAAAAATATAAATATATAGATATATATATTAAAAATAATATAAAAAACATATTTATTATTGTCTATATAATTATATAAATCAAATTATTATGTTAAATTTTTAGAATCAGATAAATATGAATTATTTGTCAAATTTTTAGATTTGTATTTCTTTAAATACTCACTTTCTTAAGTATTTATTTATAATTCACTGAACATATTACTATGTTATGTTATTGATTAATATATTTCATCATTTTATTAAGATTTATTTTTGATTTCATTTAATAGATTTTTTTATTTTTCGAGATTTAATTAGAATTCCTCTAAACTGTTTTAAAATTTATTAATGTAATCTTATTATTCATCTAATTTATTTTTTAATTAAAAGAGCTTTTTAAATTATATTATAGACTTTTTATTTTATTTTTTTTATATTTTTTTTAATCTTTTGATTCTTATTTTTTTTAAGTATATTTAATGTCATTTAAGGTATCATTTTTCATTTCCAATTTTTTTTTACAGATATACTTAAGTCATTATTTTTTAATGTTAAGTTTTTTTCATTATTATCAAAATTTTAAATAAAATTGTAATTATGGTTTGAGCTTGTATTGGTTTGAATTTTGTCGTTTTATAAGTAATGTCTTAATTATTGAGATAATTTGAATAATTTCTCTCCTTTTAAACTAAAGTTCCCTTAAGGTTAGTTTCCGTCAGAAAATTCTAATCTATTATTTTCTTTAAGTAGGTTAGATTTACTTTCTAAATTTTAATAAGAAGGAATATAGTCACAACATTCATCAATATATTATTTGGTTTTAATAGTTTAAATTGATTACTTAATTTATTAAGGGCTATTATATATTAATGTATGATGAGATTAAACTGGTTATTAAATACTTATCTTTGAATTATATAATTAATTTTTTTAATTTTATTTAGGGGCTTTACTATAAATAGTTGGTTATTAGTAAATTATTTATTATTCGGGTAGCGATTATTATTAACGTTTTATATAATAACAAAGTGTTTGAGGAATCTATTATTATATATATTACTAAGGATGATAATACATAAAGATTTGTTTGTTTGATTTTTTTTTATATATATTTTTATTGAAATTAGATTTCAAATAATTATTTATTTTTATATATAATTAATAAATTGTATGTATTTTTATATTTTGTGTTTTTTATATAAATAATTAACTATATTTTAATAAATATATTATAAAATAGTAATTAATAAAAATTAAATAAAATATTTTTTTAAAATAAAAAAAAATGATCAAATAATTTTAGAAAATTATAATAGTTATGATTTTTTTTATAATATTATATATTAATACATTTAAAGTTTAAACATAATTAAAAATAATAAATAGTAAATCTATATTAAATTAAAAATATATTATATATTAGATAACATTAAAAATTTAATTATATCTTTTTTTATTTAATTTTTTTATAATTTAAGAAACAAAAAATTAATAAACTTTATATATCTATTATATAGTTTATAGATATTAAATAAATATATTTAAAATAATTAAATTAATTAATATATTAATATATAAATAATAAAAAGATAAAAAAATATAATTTACAACAAAAAAGTATATTTCTTGTGTTATATTTTAAACACACCAACTGCAAATATAATATAAAGTTTGAATTCAAAATAAAGTTTCATAAAAATAGTTTGAATTCGCATAAATTATAGAATCTATTAATAAAATTTTCTAATAATTTAATCAAAAATATCTATAGCAATATAAAAAATATTCAACAAAATATAAACATAAAATAAAGAATATTAATTTAATAAATAAATATTAAATATTCGAGATGGAAAATATTATTTATAGGCAATATACTTTAATATTATAATAAAAAAATAAAATAGAAATAATTATATTTACAAGAAACATAAAATTAATAATATTCAAATATAAATAAATATGTATTGTTTAATTATATTATATTATTTTAAATTTATATAACTGAATTATCATTATTATTATTATTTTCATATTTATTAATTTTTTCATTTTAGTATTTTTCATTAGTTTAATAAATTTAAAGTATTTATTTCTAAATTTTAAATTTTTTCAGTTTTAAATTGTTTTTTATTACTTTGGATTTTTTATTTTGTTTTTTTCTTAATCAGAAATTAATTTAGTTTAATATATGTATTTTACACCTTTTTTTTATTTATTATACTATTCTTTTTTAACTTCTTCTATATTCGAATTTATTTAATATGTATCTAAAAGATTATCTATTTTAAAATATAAATATTTTATAATTATTAAATTAAAACAAGATAAATATTTTTTTTTAATATATTTGTCTTTTTGTTTTTTTCTAAAGCTACTTAAGTCCTCCATATTCATTTTCAGTTTCTCTAAACAGTTTTAAACAATAAAATATGAAAGTTTTGACATTTTTTAATTTACTTATTAAAATATTAATTTTAGTATATTAGAAAAATTTTTAATAATATCTTTGAAAAAATAAGAGGATTTTCACAACATATGCATATATTTTACGAAAAAATTCCAGGAAAGTATTATCGCACTATAAGCATAGTGAACTTGAGGGATTTTTATAATATTTTTAAGGACAATCCTTTAAAAAAAAAAAATAGAGCATACAAGCAAAACATCCTAAAGAAAAATATCACAAGAAGTGCAAATATTATTTAGAATTCAATTTTAGCATATTTTACAGTCAGTAATATAACATAATTTATATTTAAATACTAAACTATTTAATAAAAAAGATAAATGAAAATATATATATATATATATATATATATATATATATAAATATATATATATATATATATATATAAATATATAAATATATAAATCAAAAAGATTATATTATACTCTATTTATAATTATTAATTATTCTAATATAAATATTAACCTAATAAAATGTTAATATTTTATTATTATTAAATAATATTTATCATTAAAAATATTAGCCTAAGATAACTAATAAAATAAAATATTTGTTCTTGTTATTAAAATATTCATAATGAAAAAAAAAAAACATATTATTCATAATTTATTATATAGTTATATATAACTATATAATATTTAATAATATATATTTTTATTTAAAAATATATTTTTTTCTTTTTTATATTTAGATAATTAAAAATAAATAATTTGAAATGATATAATTCAGTATATATATATATATATATATATATATATATATATATATACATATATATATATATATTTAATTTTTCTTTTTCTTATTATAAATTAATTTCAATTTTATACAATATTAAATAATAAAATTTTATTTAATTTCTTTTTTTAATAAAAATAAATATAAATAATTATTTAATTATAATCTTATTATTAATAACTATTTTATTAATAAAATATAATAATTTTGAAAAGAAAAATTCTTTAAACAATAATATTTATATTATTTTATTTAAAAAATTAAAATATTAATTAATAATTGCAAAAATTTATTTTTTCTATAATTTAAAACTAAAAATTGGAAAAATAATAAATTAAAGAAAAATTTTCGAAAAAATAAAAAAATGAAATAAAAGAAACTTTATTTTAATTAAAGTTCTAGTATAAATATAATAC